CTCTGTCGCCATCCCGCCCGGCCGGCCGGCGCCGAGGGCCGCTCCTGCTCATGTGTTTGCGGTGCACTCCACCCGGTAGGCGAGCACGAGGGTGCCCGGCGACCACCCGCGCACCGCGTCACGCTGTGCCTCGCGCTGGTCGGCCCGCCCCCCAAAGGCCCCGCCGCCGGCCCCGCGGTCCCCACCGGCCGCGGCCGGCGCGGTCCCACAGGTCGTAAAAGCGATAGGACGTGACGCCGAGCGAGGGCGGCGGTCAGGGGCGCGCTGGCCGCGATGGGACGAGACAAAATAAACTCCATTTCGCTTGAGACAACAGTCGGTCGAACTCGGGGCCCGCGGCCGACGGGGGGCGCCGAGCCGCTGCGGGGCTCGGGCTAACGAGGTAAGTTGCCCCCGTCCGCCCGACCCGTCCGCGGCCCAGTCCCTGCTTACGCTCCCGCCCGTCTCGACAAAGAAGTGTCTTCCATTGAAATTCGCCTCAGCTGTGCAACTTTAATTCAAATAGGACGAGGGGTCGCAACAGGCCGTTTGGTTGGCGATGCCCGCGGGGCTCCCTCGGGCAGCCAGGCACGCCCCGCAACCCACTGCACCACGCCTCGCGCCGCCTCGCGCCGCCACGCCCCGCCACGCCGGCCGGCCTCCAAACGGGTACTGCAACACAGCACCGTCGCCACCACCTTGATCGGTTTCGCCTGGCCTGTCCTGCAGCTCGGTCGCGCCCCGCCCCGCCCCCCGAGGCGAGGCCAGGCTCGGCCGCACCCAGCGAGCACTGCGGGCGCAGCTGGGGCGCAGCTATTTCAGGCTGACAGTGTGTTCCATGGCTTGACACGAATATTTTTACAGTCGACAGCGGCGGAGTGCGGGCTAGGGTGGGTGGGCGGCGAGGGGGAAGCACCGCGCAGAAAGGGCGCTAGGAGGCGCCCCCGGGCGCTGCGCGGCGCGGGGTGGGGAGCGCTCGCGGAGCCGGCCGGCTCGTGACGTCGGCACAGGTATGTGTGGGCGGCGCGCTGGGCGGGGCGGGGGCAGCGGGCCCGGGCTAGGGGTTGGGGGAGGGGGGCCAGGCCTCGCTAGGACGAGAATAGAAAGAGGCTTGCATTGCAGGGAACCCTTAGTTTTCTGCAGGCGAGCGCTCTTCACTCAGGAGGAGGGGCCGGGAACCGGGCGGGCCAGGCCGGGTCACCTTCAGCGCCGCAGCTAGACACCGTGTGCGGAGGCGAGCGAGCAAGAGCAAAGAGAGAGAGAGAGAGAGAGAGAGAGAGAGAGATAGAAGTCGGGGCACACCACGCCATGCACTTTCAGAAGCGATGCTGTACCGCGCGCAGTGGTGCGGACGGGTTGCCGCCCCGCATCGGCACAGGCGTAAACACACACTCCTTCCTCTGATTTCAGCGCAAGTTCAGCGCGAGCGTGGAATGTTTGCCGACGGTGCAGTGAAGGGCAGAGCAGAGCAGAACAGAGCAGGACGAGGCGAGGGCGATGGTGGGGGCGGGGGCGGGCGGAATCAACCTCATTGAGCGAGGCGTTCGCCACCAGGCGGCGCCGGCTCCCGGCCCGGGTACACTTGCGTCACCCGGCACGAGGATAGATAGATGGACGGGGCGCAGCCTGGCACGGCCCGAGCCGGCCGGCCGGCGGCCGGGTCCCTCTGCCAGACCGTGGCATGCCTCTTCCTCGTTTGGCGGAGAGGAGAGTGGGGGCAGAGGCGAGCATTCCTAGCGCTACACAGGAATGTGTTTTGAAACAGCAACGGCGTTAGTGGTGGTGGTGGTGGTGGTGGCGGCGTCAGCAACCACTGGTCGAGTTTGATCCAGAGGAACAGAGGGCCGCATTCATTTTGTTCGGGGAAGATGTATGGCCGTCGGGTTCTCATACGGATCACTAGTTACAGCTCATCGGAGGGGCCGCACTTATTGCGCAGCCGAGTGGGGAGAGGGCGTCCTTTCCCGCGCCGACATCGGTGATGTGTGTAGTGTGGAGCGGCAGGGCGCCCCACGGCCGCGGCGGCCGCGGCTGGCTGGAGGCCCCAAGGACAGGCATCCATCACGGACCGGCTCTGCAGAAGGACACCTTTACACACTGCCGGGAGCGAGAGAGGCACCGGTTAGCTCTCTGCCTCGCGTTGTGCGCCGCCGCGCGCAGGGACCACAGGCGGTGGTTGACTACGGGGCCTAGCTCCTCCTTGCCTCAACTGAAACCGGGTCAAAACAGTTTCCTGCAGTAAATTAACGAGATACGGAGAGCGCGGCGCCGCGGCGCGGAGGCCGCTAGGCTGGGATGAGACGGGGGGACGCCGCCGGCGGGACGAAAAGCGTTTCCAGGAGGGAGCTTGCCATCATGGCGCTCCTCGACCTCATCTCCAGCGGGCCAGGGGTGAGCGGAGCGGAGCGAGTGGGGGAGCGAGAGGGGGCGGGGGCGAGCGCAGGAACGCGATCTGACACCGGGCGCGGCGAGGCGCGTGCCTGTCTGCCGCTTGCGTAAGTCTCGACTGGGAGAGAAAGGAGACGAGGCGCCAGAGGTCGGTCGAAAATAAAGGAGGCGATGCTATTTAGCAGGGCTGGAGATGGGCGCCGGCGGGGCGGGGAAGCGGGGGCGGGCACGGGGCCGGCGAAACACAACGGCGGGCACGATCAACGGAAGTCGCCCGGCCTGCGGCCCGACAGCCGCGCCTCGGCCCCGCGAGCATTACGTCCCCCCTCGCGGCGGTAAAGCGCTCCCCGCGGTTCCCCGCTGCTCCTCGCCGCTCGCGCAAGTATTTTTTGTGCATTGTCCCGCCTAGGCTCGACTCGCCCGGCGCTTCGCTGTGCTTCGCTTCCGCATGGCATGGCGGGCGGCGGCCCCAAGGCCGGGCAGCGCCGCGGCGCCAGAGGAAAGGACGCCTCCGGGCGGGGCGGGGCGGGGCGAGGCGGGGTCGCGCACACAGAAGGGCGGAGAGCGTATCAAGTTCTTATCAGCTGATTTGTGTCTGCCCCCTCACCCCTCGCCCCCAGGTCCCTGCGGGGGCGGACGCCTCCAGGACATTTTCGTCCCACCCCCTCAGACCCGGGCTCTGCGGCGCTGGGGAGGGGAGGGGATGGGGGGAGGGGTTCTCTCCCGTCCCACTTCGCGCTGTGTTCGGATCAATCCAACCGGCTCGGCCCGGCTCGGCTCGGCCCGGCTCGGCTCGGCCCGGCTCGGCTCGGCCCGGCAGGGAGTGCTCCCGGCCCCGGCCACGGCCCCGCCTCGTCGGCAAGGTCCCTCCACCACCCGGCCTCCGCCACTCCAGTCCACGCCCTCAGCTAGGCCGTGTGGACAGTCGTGATCAGCTCGCGGGTGGCAAGCGGTATCAGACCGCCAAACACATAACTGGGTCAAACAGGCAAGAGGGAGGGCGAGGGCCAGTGGGGGGCAGTGGGCGGCCGGGGGCAGCCGGGGCACCGCGGCCGCGGAGCGGGAGGGCGCTGCGCACGGCGGCTGCACTTGTCACATGACCTACTTCCTGATGTGGGCGGGCCGATATGGGTCGGGCGGGGCTGGCCGAAGCAGGGAGGGGGCGGGGCGCGGGTGCGCGGCGGCCTGGCCGAACGCGCCGGAGCGCCTTTGGGGGGGTTCCGATCCGAGGCGTTCCCGAGGCGTTCCGTCACTGTCAGCCTGCCTGACTCGGCGTTCTCTCGCCCCGGCCCCAAGCCGCTCCCCGTCTGGTTTCGCCTGTCGGCCGTCGAAATACTTTGGGCCGGCAATGAGTGCGACAGGCGGTCAGGGCGGCGGTGGCTGGCGCGGAGTGACTGGCGGGGCCTTGCATAACGAGGGCTCCAAGGCTAGGCCCGCCCGCCCCGCTCGAGCGCGCCGGGATGGCGACGGCGCGGCACTCCACTCCCCGTGCGGGGGAGGAGCTTCTGGAGGGGCGGCTCAGAGGGAGAGGTCCTGACGGGGGCGGAGGTCCGCGATGATGGTGATGCGGCTCGATAACCAGCCGCCTCTCCCTCCCCCCTTGGCTCGGGCCTCTCCATCTCCCCGGAGTAGGGCAGATTGGCAATGGGAGCCCTGCCGTCATACACTATCTCCCCTCCCGACCGGCCCTGTCCGGCCCGGCTCACCCCGGCCACTCGGCCCGGCAGGCCCGAGCGGAGGGGCAGAAGAAGCGAAGTCGTCTCCCCCGGGCCGTCCCGGCCCGGCCCCTATCGGGTTAAGTCATACGAGGTTGGCGGATGGCCGAGATAACGACCAGCAGGACCGGGCCGGGCGGCCTGGTCGTCACCGCGAGCCGGGCGGCCGCTCAGCTGACTGTCGCCGCGGGAGACGCCGCCCCGCCCCGCCGACACACTCGGCTGCGGTTGACGAATAGCTGGGCGTCGTCCCCGTGGCAGGCCCCCCTGACAGGGACGCCCGTATCGGCCCGATGGACCATTGTGCTCCCGGCGTGTAGCCCGTAGTCGCTCGCCCTGGTAGAGCTTCCTTTATGGCCCCATTCTCCACGTACGCGTGACGTCAGGCGTGCATCGGGCGCAGGTCGCCATATGCCAGCGCCTCCCGGGGTGCGAGCACTCACATGGCTCTTAAGCCGGCTGAAGTTTTGCGAGTGTGGGTGCCACCCTCGCCCTGGTCGCAGGGCCGGTCCACTGCAAAAGCTCGGCTAGTTGCTATCCGGGGTATAAGTGGTGACCTGGGACTTGCTAATAGAGAGGGGAGGGGGGAAGGGGAGGGGGCGCCAGCGCTTCCGGTATCCGCCTGCGCGCGCCCGCCGGGCGTACCCGAATAAATAGGGCGACATTTGAATAGGGCGCGAATCTATCTTTGTCCATGCAGCGGCGGCGGCAGCGCCGTGGAGGCGACGCCCCCCGAGCCCGCGGCTCGCCGGCCGGGAGGCACGCACGCGCACGCACGCACGGGAGGAGTGAACGACCCCGGCCCGCAGCGCAGCACCGCGCCGCAGGTGCACGCCGGCCGCGGCGGTGCAGCCAGTGTCCGGTACTTCCCCCCCACCAGGTTCTCAATAGGTTCCCCAGGTTCCCCTCTCAACTCACCTCGTGTCCAGGCGGCCAGATGGTGACGGTCACCTCGTCGCGCGCGGTGTCGTGGGAGCGCACCTCGCCGGCAACCTCCCGGCCGTTGAAGGTGAGGTAGGCGCGCTGGCCCGGCTGCAGGTGGCAGCCCGTCACGCTGCGGAAGCCGGGCCCGATGAGCTCCGACTCGCGGAACTCGCGGCGGAAGGTGAGGCGCTGCTGCTTGGAGGACGTGGCCGTGTCGAAGCGGACCGAGTAGCGGGTCTCGTCGCCGGGGCCCTGGCCGCCCTGGCCGGGGCCGCCGCCTCCCACCGCGCCACCGGGGAGCACGGCGGCGGGCGTCTTGACGGCGTGGATGACGCCGGCGTAGTACTTGCCGTCGTCACCCGGCGCGCACACGCGCGTGCCGATGATGGAGCGCTTGGCCAGCCTCTTGCCCGTCGACATGGTGCTGTAGGGAAGGTGCCGGCGCTGGTGCGGGGCAGCGTGCGTCGCCTTCCACTGGCGCCGGCGCCTGAGCGGCAGCGGCGGCGCGGCGGCGCGGCCCGAGACGATCACGCCGGCCCTGACGGGGGCGGCGCTCGGGGTCGCGGTCGCGCCGGGGCGCTCCGGGGCCTCCGCCTGCCTGTCGCCGGCCGGCGCGGGCGCTTTGAACAGCAGGGCGCGACGGCCGAGCACACTAGGTTCCCGGGGGAACGACACTTTCACACGATTTCACGACACGGTTTGTTCCACACTGGAAAATTAAGACTCGTGGGGGGCGGGCGGTCACCTCCGCGTGTCACGCCGCGCACTGGGACACACGCAAAACACTGAGTCTATCGGGGAGGGCCTCTAGCTGGGGGGCGGCAGGCCTCACTCTGGGCAGCACCGGCGCCAGGGACACAACACGAGCTGCTGTCCTATGGGCTGTCCTATCGGCCTGTCCCGCCGGCTCTGAGCGGGGCTCTGCGCGTCTCCAGGTCCCACCGGGTCACGGGTCGCACTCGCGCAGCTCACGCACCGGGCGCGGCACAAAGAACTCATAGTCGCACTGCACGACTGCGCCGCGGTGCACACGGGCAAGGGTCGTCGGGGCGGCGAGACACAGGGGAGCAGAGCGACGTAGGTAATCCACGGGCACGCGCGCCTGCTCCTAGACTCACACCGGGACCGACTCCTTGCGTGCCGGGCTGTGGCGGCTGTAGCGGTTGCGCGGCGCGGCGGGGCGGGGCAGCGACACGGGCACGGGTGCGCTCGGATCAGCTGCTACACTTTGAATGGCAGCGCAGCGATCAGCGCAGCCCGGCCGCAGCGGAGCGAGCGGAGCCGAGCCGGCCGGTCGAAACCTCAACAGCTGACGGATGACAACAAAACCCACGTGACCGGCGGCGCGAGCGCCCATTGGCTGGCCGGAATGAGGCCTGACCTACATTCTCGCCATTGGTTGGCTGCGGCCGGGGAGGGAGAACCCAGTGCGCAGAACCGGGCGGCGGCGGGGCCGGGCGCGGAGGGCGGAGGGGGACCCGAAGGGGACCCGAAGGGAAATAAACAGCGGCCCGAAGCCGAGCCGAGCGCCGCCAGCGCCGGCCGAAGTGAAATGTCTTTACCGACTCGCGCTCCCCGCGTACAGCGCCACCGAGAAGGCTTCTTTGTTAGGGACGTTTTCGCAACAACGCCCCTCTTCGTCTTTGCCTGCTTCGCGTCGGCTCCGCTCGGCTCTCCTCCAACAAAGGCGTACCCAGCCGCTCGGCCCCGTGCGCTTCTTCTAGCTGCCCCGGGAGCGGGTGGTTGGTGGTGGGGTATGGAGAACACACCACCGCCACTGCGGCTTGCGTTTCGCGTGACAAGTTGCAACTCGTTAGGACCACTAGGCGAGTAGGTGCGGGGAAATCAGCGGCACCCGCCGAGGTCGTGAAGTGCGATCAATACGGCAGGGGGTCAGCGTTGACCTGGCGGCCGGGCAACAGGCAACGAGAAAGACTTCCAGGGCCTCGCCCGCCAACCTTTAACAGGGGGCGACATCGTCCGGTGTACACTGGATGCTCTGTGCACCACTACGACTAGCATGGTCGCGACGCAGTAACCCAGACGCAACCCTCCCCCTCTTCGTCCCTCTCGCCTCTCGGAACGACCTCTTCCTATTCACAGTCTCGGCGGCATAAAATCACGGCGATAAAGTTGGCGAGGGAAAGAGGGAGGGAGGGCGATCATAGAGGAGAGGGGGGAGGGGGAGATTGCAGGGAGCAGAGGGGGGAAGTTGCAGGTTCTGGCAGGAGGGGCCGGCGGTCGGCAGGGCCCGGAAGGGGCGAGGGTAACGCGAATTACGTTTCGCCCGGGTGGCGGGCGCGGCTGGCCGAGGCGCTGTAAATAACGGAACGGTACTCGTACCGCTCCTTCCGCCTTATGTAACCTGTTCCGCTGGTCCGCGCGGCCAGGCTCCCTCCCCTCCCTGCACCCCCCGGCCCCGCCCGCGCGCCCCGCCAGCCCCGCCGCCCGCGGCCGCGCCTCCCCCAAAGTCGCGGCGCGTCGCGACGCCCGGCCAAACAAAGAGCCCGAGGCCGCATTACCCTGCTGAGCCCTGTTCGCGTTCGACGGGCTGGACTGAGCACCCCCCAGCTCTTGAATAACGTACATGTACACGTACACCCTGTAGTTTTTACATGGGCCATTGGGCAAGTGAATTTGGATACCACCGGAACTGTCCTACGACCTTCTGTAGGGGAGCTAGATAACTTTATAGGCTCCCACTATCCGTACAAAGGCACAAAACGCACAGTAGATGTACCAACAATGCGCATGACCTTTACTGCGTACCTCTTTAATTGACACAGAAGGTGTTAAATCGTCGCTTACATCATACCTTAATTGGTGCTGGAGAAAATCAAACTTGTCAGCTCATACACGTATTAAGTACCGCTTTTAATTCTATCACAGTGCACAAATGTATTTGTGTTGAAGTGCTGCTTCGTGAAGATATCATAACACGCACTTGCAGAAGGTTTTATTAGTGTTAGGTTTGCTCTTGAGGGGGCTTGTGCATCCAACGCCACCCACTTCTCGTCCTCCCAGTCCGTGCTGGAAGTGCACCCGTACCCGCGACCTCTGGCCTGGCCCCGCGCGCCGCGCACGGGGAGCGCTTGTGGTCGCGAGGCCTAAACGCACGCCGTGCTGCCGCTGCTGCGCTGCTACGTCACATCACAGGTCGTCCCATCCCGGCTCCCGGTCCGTCCGCTTCCCGGGTCGCGTCCGAGACGCGGCCGCCCTCCTCGTCGCTCGCGCGGCGCGGGATGCGGCCCGAGAGCGAGAGGGAAGTCCTCTCCTCGCCCCGGAAGCAGCCCGAGGCGAGGCGAGATTCCACTGCCGGGACTCTAGCGGGAGGGAAGGGGAGAGAGAGAGAGAATAGGAGAGGTCGGGTAGGGAGAAGAGGCTGGGTGGGTGGGAATTTAGAACTCCATGGTTTGTAATGAGTAGGAGAGGGATGGGAATTTAGGAGCCTCCTACTCTCCTCTTGGCTCTCGCTGTAATGAGTGTGAGAGAGACAGGAGGTTTAACTCGCTGGAGGGGTGTGTCGCGTCGCACGGGGACAGAGAGAGAGAGAGAGGGGGGGGGATTGAGAGGGAGGGAGATACGGAGGTACGGAGGGACGGAGGGAGGGAGAGGGGAGAGGGCAGAGGGGAGGAGGTGAGGGGTTAGTGTCGCAGCTGGCATGTGGACCAAGACGAGCGTAATCCAATGGAGCAAAATGAGGAGGGCTGGCCGGGTCGGGCCGGGTCGGGCCGGGACTACAGGGCCGGGAGGCGGCGGGGCTCTAGCGGAGACGAGCGCGAGGACGAGCATCGGCGAGCACGAGGAGGGCGGCTCGCCACCACGAGCACGTCTGCGCGTCGCTCGACCAATCAGCACCGAGACGTACGTGCACTGAGCGGAGGATGGGGGTTGCCAGCGCAACCGTCCGCAACCGTCTCAGCCGACACCGACGGGACGGAGACGGACGCGTATGGTTTTCTTGCAGTTTCTCCTTTGCTCGTCACCGTTGCTGTTTTTCTCTCGTTTCCTTTCCCCTTCAACACACTTCTATATCAAAGCGAGAAGCGTGTCTCTTTTCTGTATCCACTCACCATTGCTTGTGCGCAACTCGTTTCTCTACCAGACCATGCTCTTTTACAACGTGCAAGGGGAGAGAAGGCGACGCGTAGCAGTAGAGGAAAAAATAACTTGACTGTTGGAGGCTCGGATGAAGGACACTCTTCAGTTTCTCAAACATTAAAAAAATAATAATTGCAGCTTACAATCTGTTTTTGCGTCCTACGAAGGCATATCAGAGGTACGCACACCACTCTGGAAACAAGTGTGATCCTGGCCAACATTTTAAAGTGTAAAACCATACGTCATACACATGTATT